AAAAAAAAAAAACAGGAGAAAAGGGAACACGTCCCAATTCATTCTATGAGGACTGCTTTCTGATTTGGAAATTCATTGTGTATTTTCCAAATTTTCTAGGATGACAAAGAGTGCTGTCATGTCTGTGGATTCAAACAGAAATGTGGTGACCATTAATGTGGTCTCCACATCGGTCTCCTTATGTAACTGCCAGAACAAAAGACAGGGAGAAATATAAAAACAAATAAAACCACTCCTCACTGCCATCCATCTCTCTCTGTGCAGTATTTTTGTACCATGCACGTTGCAGGTGGCTGAAATTCAGAAACCCAAATTATACCTGGCAAAGGGCTAGAAGTGAGTAATTTATTTTAATATCTACATTAAAAAATTTTTTAACGTTTATTTATTTTTGAGAGAGACAGAGACAGAGCACGAGAAGAGGAGGGGCAGAGAGAAAGAGGGAGACACAGAATCCAAAGCAGGCTCCAGGCTCTGAGTTGTCAGCACAGAGCGTGACTTGGGGCTTGAGCCCATGGACTTCGAGATCATGACCTGAGCTGAAGTTGGATGCTTAACCAACTGAGCCACACAGGTGCCCCTTTAATATCTACATTTTATTAAAAAAAATTTTTTTTCAACATTTATTTATTTTTGGGACAGAGAGAGACAGAGCATGAACAGGGGAAGGGCAGAGAAAGAGGGAGACACAGAATCTGAAATGGGCACCAGGCTCCGAGCTGTCAGCACAGAGCCCGACGCGGGGCTTGAACTCACAGACTGTGAGATCATGACCTGAGCCAAAGTCGGACGCTTAACCGACTGAGCCACCCAGGTGCCTCTGTCTACATTTTAAACTAATATGTGTCCTAACAAGTTGTAGGGCTTGGAATTTTACAAAGAGAGAGAATAAGAGCCACAGAAAAGTAGGAAATAATTTTTTTTTTCCAGAACATGAACTCTGCTTTCATCTGTAGGAATGAATCAGGAATTGAATCTATACTTGTACACAATATTTATCAATAGGTAACCAATTTCTCCCTGTCCAATAAATTACATAGAAAAAAATCAGAAGAGCACCAGTTTGAAGAAACACCAAATATCAGACTGTCTGGGGCACCCTCATGTCTTGGTCTGGCCCCAACTATCAATAAGAAAATAAAAATCTTTTGCAGTCCAACCATCCAACCATAATTTCTATGAAAGATCTGAGGCACTTTCCATTTTTCCCCCATGGGTATAAAATATATATGTATATGTTTTGCAAAATTCTTATCATATATGTATATAATTTTGTATCCTGCTTCCCCCCCCCCCTTTAACACTGTATCTGAGTAATCACCTAGTATTTTCAAAGAAGCCATATATTTTCAATGCAACATTCCAGGAATGATCCTTAGACATAATATCATTGGTTACAGATACACATGAATTACAATCGATACTACGTACGTAGCTTTAAATTGTAACATCTTCCTATGGAATATTTATTGAGTTTATATTACGTACAGTTGCAAGTTAAATTATGTATAATTTTAGTTATAAATAAAACATGATCCACTACATATTATTTATACTTTGTACTATGTAATTTTAGTAGTATTATTATAAACATGTGCTACTATTTACTATGAGTCTCTACTCTGAGTAGAGACTAGGGCTAGAAGTATGACCTTTGATGATAGACCTAGGTTCCTAAATTCTGGTGTTCCCATTTTCTATGTGACCTTCTCAACTTCCTTATCTTGGAAAAGGGGGTAAGGGAGTTTTGAAGTTTATTGCAACAATATATTTAAGGTGCTAAACATAATGCCTAATACACAGTAAGCTCTCAACAGGCAGTAACTATTCTTATGATTATTATACTTTCTATGCCTTTGCTAATTACAATACATATAATTATAATATAAATTATAATTTATAGCTATAAATTACAAATTATATGTATAATCTATAATCACATAAATAATATAAACGATATATACAAATTATAAACGTAACATAACGATTTAACTCAATTCAGAACTATAAGGCTAACCCAAAGATACCAAAAAGGAACTCAAAAGTGGGAGTTACTCATACCCAGAGCGTTCCAAAGATCTCAGGGAACATTCTCAGCACAAACCATTGAGTAGGTGATTCACCTCTTACTCTCTTTTCCCATATGACTGATCAAGAATCATAGCTCGATGGGGCGCCTGGGTGGCTCAGTCAGTTGGGCACCAGACTGTGGCTCAGGTCATGGTCTTACAGTTCGTGGGTTCAAACCCCGCGTCGGGCTCTGTGCTGCCAGCTCAGAGCCTGGAGCCTGCTTCGGATTCTGTGTCTCCCTCTCTCTCTGCCCCTCCCGCACTCTCTCTCTCTCCCTCTCAAAAATAAACATTGAAAAGAAGAAGAAGAAAGAAAGAATCACAACTCGAAAAACAAAGTTGGCAGCTTCGGCATCATTGACATTTCTTTCCTGAGCCTCCTTTGCAAGTGTTGGTTGAAAAGGCACGTCTAAACAAAGTTCACGCTTGGGAGAGGAGCCTTGGAGATGGACTAGAACGCCGAGAGCCTTCCCTACGCTCCAGTGTGAAGCCGACCCCGCTGCCCTGCCTCTGCTTGGCTTCAGCCAGCCCTTTGTTGGCATTCTCACGCCGGCCCTCCCTCCACTAAGGCAGTGTTTCATTTGGGTCACTCGGGGACCTTTAAACATTCTGAGCCCCAGGCCCTGTTCCCAGAGATCCTAAATGAATTCGTCTGGGGTAGAGTATGAGCAGTCATATTTTATAAAAGCTCCTCAGGGGATCTGAATGTATGGCCAGGGTTGAGAAGCATGGCTTTAAGGCAGGGGTTCTCAACTTTGTCGGGGGTCAAAATGACCAGGAGGGCTTATTAAAACAGATGGCTGGTCCCGCCCCCAGACTGATTCAGTGGGTCTGGGATGGAGGGGGAGGGGGGCAGCTGAGAATGTGCATTTCTTATAGGTCTTCAGGTGATGCCAATGCCCCTGGTCTGGGGGCCACATCATGGAGAACCACTGCTCTTAGACCACATCGCTTCTGCAGAGGTGATACTCGTGCCAAAAAGCCTTGTGATTTTCACTGGAGAGGAGTGGTGGCGGGCAGCTGTGAACTTGTTCTTGCTTTGGGCCCACACCTCTCTCCTCCATTAAGCTGTAGTGATCATTTTCGTGTCTATTTCCTCAGCAGCTTCAGAGCCTGGCAGTTGTAGGGACCAGAGAAATAAGAAAGAAAACAAAACAAAACAAAACAAACAATGCAGGCACGAGTGAGATCATGGGAAAATTTTTCTTTTTTTTTTTTTTAATTTTTTTTTTCAACGTTTATTTATTTTTGGGACAGAGAGAGACAGAGCATGAACGGGCGAGGGGCAGAGAGAGAGGGAGACACAGAATCGGAAACAGGCTCCAGGCTCTGAGCCATCAGCCCCAGAGCCCGACGCGGGGCTCGAACTCACGGACCGCGAGATCGTGACCTGGCTGAAGTCGGACGCTTAACCGACTGCGCCACG